TGTCTTGTCCTTCCTTTTCCATTAAACTGCTGTCCTCCCACAGAAAGTTCAACTTGATACAGTAAAGGTGGAACTGGAAATGGGTAAATGTACCTACAAATCAACAAGAGTTTAGGAAGATAAATCTCAGACTAACAGTCTCGGATGGATAAATTACCCACACAGTCTCTGGCAAATTTCACGTATTTCTTCACCATATTTTGATGGCTAATCACATTAGTATTTGATGGCTAATAATGATTCCTCAAGGTATTCAGAAATTTTGTAAAAGTTTAAACTGGATTAGAATTGCCACATAGTATAAGCAAATACCATTTAGCAATTCAAGGCAATGTTCCACAAGATACACTGGCTTGCAAATTGCATGAGTTCAATTTTTAATGCTAACTTTTTTAATTGACAAAACCTAAATTGAATCAGGGTTTGGCTGAGACAAAAACTTACTAACTTGCTCTACTTTCTCCTATCTGAGATCTGCCCTTGCATGAGGGTTTCAGGAATTTTAAAGCAAATTTCCTTCAGGAAAAGATTTGCTTTTCTGGACAATCCAACCCTATAGCCTAGAGTCCTATGGGTTCAGCACTGGACCGCAAATCATAAGGTTGGGGGTTCAAACACACCAGCCGCTCCTTGGAAACCCTACCCAGGGTTGCTATGAGTCAGAATAGACTCAATGGCACTTAACACAACATAACCTGACAGGACCTGGTTTCTTACATTTTTGTTTGTATTCTCAAAATCTTTGACCCCAGTCCCCTACTTCAAGGATGGCAGGAAAAGTAAAACTTCCATTTAGATTATTAATGTATCTACTAATACCTTGTTACTGCCAGCAAAAGGTTGTTAAAACATGCCATTTTGGGGTTTCAATTAATATTTTACTACACCTGTGCTCCAAGGCTATTTACAAAGCACACACATTCAAAAGTCAAAAAGCATCCAACAAACAAGGATCTGAAGTCCAACCGATGCTGAGAATCATGGTGTCGCAGGACGCATTTTCATACAGGATTTGGTAAACACAGAGCAGTAATATGTGTAATCTTTAACTAGACTGCTTAGGGGCACAAGTCACACTGTCAGTAAGGACTATTTTGAGGAATAGTTATTGCTCATGCTCGTGGCAAAGACAAGAGTTAAAAGAACACCAACATACAGTTCCAAAAGTACCAACTGACCTGGCAGGTGTGAAACTCAAGTCAATTCTTTGCTTTCTAATCTATCAACCAGCCAAATCTGTTGCCACTGAGTCAATTCTGATTCACAGCTGGACAGAGTCAAACTGCTCTATACGTTTCCAAGTCAACAGCGGACTGCCACGGCTTTCTCTCATGGAGTGGCCACCAGTGAGTTCAAACCACAGACCTTTTGGTTAACAAGCGAGTGCTTCATCACTGTGCCACTAGGGCTTCTTTCGTTACCTATAAATGCTCTCGTTAAGTGATGTCAAGTTGGTTCCACCCCATAGCAACCCTGTATAGGGTTTCCAAGGAGCAGATGGTGAGCTTCAACTGCTGACCTTGTGGCTCAAACCACCTTTGCAGTTCAGCACATTAATCCACAGTGCCACACCAGACAGGGCTACTTTGTTCTATGTATTTGACGTTGTTGTTAAGTGCCATCGAGTCAGTTCCAACCCACAGCAACCCTGTGTAAGGCTTCCGAGGAGCGGCTGGTGAACTTAAACTAATGACCTTGGGGTTCAAACCAACTTTACATCCAGGACATTAACCCAAAGTGCTACAGCAGCCAGGACTCCTCATTCTATGTATAGCATCTGATATATTCATTTTCATCTGTATTTAAATAAAAAGAAACCAACAAAAACATACCCATACCTCGGGGGATAGGCACCTCCTCTCATGTTGTAGTTGTAGGTGGACTGCATCCGAGAGTAAGGGTCAACAGGCTTGTACATTGGTTTTTTTCCAAGTTTCATGCACAGTGCATTTAGTTCTACAGTAGGAGTTATGCTTTCTGCAACACAGAATCAACACAAAGAAGTGATTTGTCTGTTTTTCTGACATGAGAATGATGGTTATTTAAATATAAAAATTAGAATAGCATGCTTTTGACAAGTTGATTGACAATGCATTACACAAACAGCCTAAAAACTTCCCTGCTAGGCACCAGGTCAGGAAATCCAAGAATCTGCTATGATTTCTAGGGATCAATATACAGTCAGCAGTATAATATACACTGTAAGAGCAATCAGAGGGAGTGACAACTTAATAAGATGCTACCAATGAAAGCCAAACCTTGTCTCGCTTTCACATTAAATTCCTGGATTAAAACAGCTCATACGACTGTCTTAAGTTATTTAATTGTTCAAGAATACTTATCCAATAAAATTTAATTATACAAACTGACTGGACTTACTCTTACAAATATGTTTGCACACACTACTTCATGAAACAAATGCATTTCTTAAGTACTAACTATGGATTCCTGGTGTGGGGCTGTAGGATCAGCACTGGCCTTCGAAACCACAAGGTCAGCAGTTCACACCCACCAGCTACATCTCAGAGACCTTATATAGGGTCACTGTATCGGAACCGATCCGACAGCACTGAACAACCACTATATACACAGGAGTCCAGGTGGTGATGTGGCTAAAGTCCTCAGCAGTTCAAGCCCATCAGCCATTCCACAAGAGACATATAGGGCACTTCTACTCTATGCTATGGAGTCGCTATGAGTCTGAATCAACTGGACAGCAATGTGCTTGAGAGTTGTTGGCTGTTTATTCTGTGATAACTACGTGCAAAGCACTTTGCAAAGTTGGAAGGACACAATTGCTATCCCAGAAGAGTTAAAAAAAAAACCACACAGCACACTAAGACAGTTATAATACCATGGGGTATGAGCCATAAGGTAGCTGTGGAATCAGCAAATAAATTCTATCTGGAGAAGTCAGATAAGGCCCACAAAATAGTCAAGCATTTCCATTATTGGTATTTCTAATAGGATTTGACCTGTGGTTATTCTCGTTAGGAAAATTAGTTGCATTTCCATATACAATTGGAATGAGTACACCTCGAGTTAAGTCAGAATTATCAACTTCAGAAAACATCTACTATTCCTTTTCCAATTCTCTTCCTCTCTGTTCATCCAATTCATAAACTTCTACAAACCACTTAAAAAAGAATCAGCCTGAAAAATTAATCAGTACACAATCACATGTCAAAACATTTCATATCAAACACAGAACAACACTAGCAATGGCAAAATTTAATTTAAATGCACACAAAAATTCACCTTAAAATGCTTCACTGGGATGTATGGGAAGATAAAAATGACTTGACTCAATACTGTAACTGGTTTGACTAAATTTAGTGCATGAATCAAATTAACATGAATATCTTTGGGGTTTGTGAAATCAGAGTGTCACATGAGTTACCAGCCTCTCTTTTCTTCCTCACATTAGAATGATACTTTTTCATAATATATATAGTTTTGCATTTAAATACAATCTGAATAATTTCAACAGCAGCTCTGATGCATAGAATCTTTCTGCAATAGAGAATGATTTGAAGACAGAAAACAAAAAAAACATCAAAAGCACCAGGAAAAGTATTGCCAAGACCTGCTGGAATTTGTCCCTGCGTACAGAGGGGTCATCACTGTGTTCAAGTGTCCATTCCTCCCACAGCCTTAAGAGCAGTGGTTCCCAAGCTCCTACCAGAGACTCTTCTTCATTTGGATTCTCCCCTCTTGGGTTCCTTATTTGAGAAGATACTACCACTTACTAATTGATTGTTGTTGTTGTTAGGTGCCATCGAGTCAGTACCGACACATGGCGACCTTATGCACAGCAGAACGAAACACTGCCCGATCCTGGGCCAACCTCACTAATGTTGCCACGCTTGAGTCCATCGATGCTGCCATTTGGCCAATCCATCTCGCTAGGGGTCTTTCTCTTTTTCTCTGACCCTCCACCTTACCAAACATGATATCCTTCTCCAATGACTGGTCCCTCCTGACAATATGTCCAAAGTATGAGAGACGAAGTTTGGCCATCTTGGCCTCTAAGGAGCACTCTGGCTGCACTGCACTTCTTCTAAAACAGATCTGTTGGTTCTTTTGACAGTGCATGGCCCTTTCGATATTCTCCTCCAACACC